GCTTTGTTCCATTGCCCGCCATAGACTTCGCGGAACGTGTGCATTGCTTGTGATCATTTTTCAACCATTGTTCCGCTTTGCGTCTTTCCTGTTGTTTTCGTATGGTAGGAGCGTGCTGCATCGGACAAGCCTATTAGTATCATTCAAATAGATGTCTATCTAGTTCGGTGTACATGCACCGCGTCTGGATCTGTACAGTTTTTGCGCACGGTAAAAGCCGCAGAACGACGGAAGCAAATTTCTTTACATCGACGAAAGCGAACGAAGACGCTACACTACCCAAAAACAGTGATAAAAGTAAGCCAAAGGGGTCTTTGGCCATCGCTTTATCGTCAGATTCTCATCGGTTTTGATTAGAATGTCTGACGCTGGAGATGGTATTGAAGTCGACCGTGCCATTATTTCGGAGGTCGAAGTAGCGGCGGAAGCCCCCAAGGGAAAGCTCTCCGTGGAGGAAGCTCTTCAAGTATATCCTTGTTTGTTCCCTCTTGAATGACACGTTCTGATCCTGGCGACGTTTTAGCAAGTTTTGAAGAACGCGCTGGTCCATGACGGCCTTGCTCGTGGGCTTCGTGAGGCGGCAAAGGCCCTTGATAAGCGTCAAGCGCACCTTTGTGTCCTTGTCGAGACCTGCACTGAGGCGGAGTACATCAAGCTCATCGAGGCTTTGTGCGCCGAACACAAGATTAATCTCATCAAGGTCGGAGATGCCAAGGTTCTCGGGACTTGGGCTGGGCTCTGCAAAATTGATCGCGAGGGCAACCCACGGAAAATCGTAGGGTGCTCGTGCGTCGTCGTCAAGGATTACGGTGTTGAGAGTGAGGGGATGCATGTTCTCCTTGATTACTTCCGCACAGTACGCTTCAATTTCGGCAGTACTCAGACATATCATCGTGCTCACTGTCTCCTTCTACAGCGCTAACTTCCTCGAGGTGAGACATTAGACTCGTTTTCTTTTGTTTTTCTGCATCCCTTCCCGGCGATGATGACTCCTAGACTCCCTCGGCCGAATGCGAGAGTACTCCTCGAGCATGACGCGGAAATATGTCTATCCGGAATCATTATACATTGTCTGAGCCTGGATTCTTTTTCCTCACTTCGATTGTTGGAAGATTTGGTCTTTGTTACTGATAATTATGCTCTTGACTTAGTAGCTGGTTTCCTATGTCCGCATACCTACTTTCTTCACCCAAAAATATATGTTTCTGAGGAGGTGTGCTTGACGCCTTCACAGTTAGTCTCCAAGGTGTGGTCCATCACGTGGCCTGAATCTAGTGCCTTGTGGCCTTGATGGGGCAACGAAGTCCGTAGCCGAGGGAGTGGCATGATTTCTGAGCAAGCTTTCACCTATTGGCTACCTCGAGCAAGGCACGCAATATCGCCCTTGCCGTCTCAGTATTATCAATCCAAATAACAAAACTTGTCAAACACGGGCCTAGCCTAAAAGATTGAGCCAAATCGTGATTCGTATATATGCACAGTATACGCATGCCTAAACATCACACTCGGATACCGTCCACCATGACGATTGCAGTTATCTGATTGTCGCTCCTACCTCCACAACGTGTCTAGAGGAGCGACACTGGCCGATGAGATTCCTGAGACTCTACCCTCATGTCCCTGTGTCCGCTTCGTCGGGAAGACCCCACCCCAACCGGGGCCGTGCGGGGTGCTCAACAATGGCCCAGGCTATAAGTTTGAGACTCCGCTCGTGCGCAGAACTACCTTCATCTTGATAGTTTTCTAGCTTATGGCATCTTGGCTTCATGACTTGGGCGGTCAATATACTACGGATGGCCTTACGCGCATTCCAATCTTTTTGAGATGAGCGCATTATAATTGGGGTTCTGCGGTTTCGTTGCAGCTGACATAGCAGTTTGACCTTTTGGCCTGCGCTGATACTGCACGATTGTACGGAGACTGCACGTGTACTGAGCATATATTGTGTTCCCGATGAATCGATGGGAATTCACCAATGAATCGATCGATTTCTTGCGCGCGTATCGAGGTATCTGACGAGACTCGCCACACACGTTGCGTGCAATTTTTTGCGGTTGGCACCAACGACCACGGAAGGGGTATAAGCACAGAAAGGAATACACCGAGAGACTAATGGGACAGTATTAGCTCTATATAGGAGGGAGTCTACAATAGTGCTTGGCGCATTCATGAGTCTCCTACACTGTGATTCTCATTCGCATTACCATTACCATTGACAGGGTTAGGGAGAGGTGGTGTGACAGAGGGCGGTGGTGTGACCTGCGCGTTCCCGGCACTTCCTCCGCCTGCAGCTGCACGGTTCGAAAGCAAACTCTGGAAAAATTCTGAAGCACCTCGTGTTGTGACCGGCCCTCCCCGGTCACTGGTCCAGCGCCAACAGTCACACCTCCAGACGAAGGGACGGGCGTAGCGCCACCTGGTGGGCCTCGAGATTGCAGAACATTCGTCGCGACGGCCGGAATGGAGGGTAGTGTGGGACCACCTGGAGGTCGGGTATCCTGCTATCAAAGCAACATTAACGAATGGATCTCGGTGAATGGCAACTGACAGTATTTGATAGTAGAGAGTCGGCTCACCCTACGAGGTGGCCCAGCACCTCCCGTGGCTCTTAATAGTCTCGCACCCACATCTTCACCCTCGAGTTCCATCATTGCGCGTTCAACGCTAGGCAGACTCAGACTAGAGCTTCCCATGGGACCAACAACACCAGCCCCAGATACATATCCGCCTGAGGCTGGATCGTTAGTTTGAGGCTGTCGGAAGGTCTGGCGCGGATCCCGATCTTTCGCAAGGTTTTCATAATGGTTGGCGAGGAATACTTGCTCCGATTCGGTGACAATAAGAGGTCCAAGTGGGGCAGCCTTGACGAAAGATATTGTTCTGTTAAACAGGAAGAGACGTAAATAGTTTAAGGAAGAAAAATACCTTGGGACCTTGTTGGTGACCAACGAGGGAACGGAAAAGATCTCTAGCGCCGCCTGCTGGTGCATTTTTATTCTCAATGTCCTTCTCCCATGCCTCCGCCCATCGCGAAGCTTCAAAACCATCACGAAGTATTGCAATCTTCGACCAACTGTCCCATCCGGCTGGTACCATAATACGATCGCGATCCAGAATATTAGGCCGATGTGTGAAAGGGAACGGATATTTCAAAGGTGTAAAATCAGGAGGTGGTGGTGGTGGCATGAACAGGAAATGAAGGACGTATTGTCGCAGGTAGGAAAGAGTCGCCGGCTGTGGTGTGGTATAGAATAAAGCAGCTCCATCTTCGAGAACTATTAGAAGAAAAGTCCCATACAGAAAGAAGCTGGCTCACACTTCAAACAGATGGTGCGGAGGACCTGCATCACCGCGTCTGTCCTCTCCTCCCATTCCCCACCTTTTCCCTTCGCCATCCCTATCCCAGGATCTATTTCGTCGTCAATAAGATCAGCTTTGGTGCATGTAACGATTATTGGGACCCCGGCGGAATTATGGCTGAAGGTTCCCTGTCCGAGAGGCAAAAGCGTAGAATTTAGAGATGAAGCCACCGTTGGCAAGGAATCTGCCGATCCTGGTGCGGCGGAAGGTTCGGTATAATGCTGGAGGTGGGATTGTACTGTTCAAGGTTTTATTACTTGATGGTGCGTAATAATATTCACGACAGGGAGCTCACACCGATCTCGCCCCTCCTCGCGCAGAACTTGCGTGTCTCTTGATTTGTCGCTGTTCACCCAGCTTTCTGACCATGCGAGCCACGTATGTAATTGTTCTAGGAACGACCACGGTTTTGTCCAATCTAGGACAATCATAATAAGCGTATGTGGCAAACTTGTTCGTGGCGGTAGGAAGTAAGGTATTAGAGACAAGTGAGCGGGAGCCGAGGAGGGGACACTGTATACTGATAGTCGCGCGACGATATCTGAGTTTATAGGAATGATGTCAAGAACGACCTTTGGATCCACGACGATTGGACAGACCTTCTTCTCCCTCTTCTTTGACATTCGCCCATTCATACCCAAGGGCAAAATCAGTCTTTCCACTCCACTCTCCATCAGCATGATGCACTGCTGTGGCAGTCTTTTGCAAAAGCGCATTTGCCAAAGTAGACTTTCCACTAGAGGGCTCCCCAAGGATCAAGACATTACCAGACGGAAGAGAGCGTTTGGAAGACACAGAGTCTAGGATAGAGCTCCACAAATTTTGTTCGGGTGATGAGGAACGAGAATGATCCATGCAGACCCCAAAGCGCGCCTGGTGTTGTATTTGGTAGTCGGGTCAATCCGAAAGATTATATTGAACCACACGCATAACATTCCTCCCCAAGTTGACATATAGTGCGAGCACTTTGCACCATTCTTCGGGCGTGTTCAGCCCGTCGTTTCTTTTCCAGGTGGTCATCTTATCGTTACCGATGAAGTCCGGGACCTGGCTTGTCCGATTTGGTAATATTTATGGTACACTCGGGGCTTCATTAACCAACGATTAACATCTGCTTTCACGTTTGTACACCTCTAAAATCTGTATATCCAACCGCAGGATAAAACATCTATATTCGTCCATGCGAGGGATATGGAACATGCAACTTTACTATTGCCGAAAAACACCTGAGCTCGGAGAATTTTTCGTATCCACAGTAGTTAGCCACGTCCACAACAGCCAAGAAAGCACTCAAGTGAAAAGCAACAAGACCACACCTTGCTCCACCAAAGATTTCGTATTTGTTCACCGTCTCTCGGTTTCCTTCAACCCCTTGAAGTTGGACCGGGTGATCGGTTTGAGACAGGACTGGGTGACAATCGTAAGATAGCGGAGGTCTCTGACGATTGGATGAGCTCCGGTCTGGTCGCACCCCGCGATTCTCAACAAGGGATGTTCAAGGCATTTTGCGATGGCCTTTTGGGTGCTGGTGTGGGAAAAAGTACACCCTCCTTTTCCTCCAAGTTGAGATGGATACGGTGACCTCGGGCACGGTATATAGGGGCGATAACACTGAACTTGTAGCCGTGAGTGAGCAAAAGTGATCTCCGCCGGACTCGAACCGACAAACTCCTGATACAATTCACTAGAATCGTAGTCAGACGCCTTACCATTGGGCCAGGAAACCAGCATCGGACATGATAACCCCATTATGACTAAGTACATTGTGGTCGACATTTCTATACGCTCCGCAGACAAGCAGACTGTGCATGACCTTTACTACGCAGCATGAGAGGAAATCATACACAGCACAAGTCCACGAAGATACCATACATTAAATACAAGGAATGAAAGACCAAGTTCACGTCTTACTATCCCCGAGATACTCCTCCAATACCGCTCGTTTACGCAATTGTAACAGCACAGATTCCATATCTTGTCTCGTTGGCATAGATGGTGGGGCAACGTCAGATGGTTGTAAAACAGATAACAAGGGTGGCAGTTGAATGGCTGGAGCTGGCGGCGGATCGCCTTGATCTCCATTCTCGTCGTGACCATCCGTGGTCTTTAGGCGCTTAGTTGTCGTTGTTGTTGCCGGTGTCGTCGGGACGCTATCAATCGTGTCCACCAGTGGAGGGTCATCAGTCTCCATGGCTTTGCGTTTCTCCGCCCCCGATTCGGAGTGAGAGGTAACCACGGAGAGCGGGGTTGGGTTGGGCCGTGGGATCGGAGGTATCCCATGGTCGGCATCCAGACCAAGGGTTTCTGCTAGCGTCTTATATGCCTCCTCCCACTCTTAGGACGACTATTAATAAGCACGAAAGCAGAGCAGCCAGTACAAAACACCAACCATTATTCTCTTGTTCCACCTCATAGGCAAGGAGAGTGTCATCCATCTCGTCCAGGTCACCATAATAGGAGGGGCCCTGGTTCTGATATTTTCGGTAATGCGTTGCCACCTTATTTTCCTCCTCCACTTCAGCTGCAAAGGATAGATCCTGTCAATGCGCGGCGCCTAAGCGAATATTTAGCCATCAGCACAATGAGCTCACCGCTGCGGTCGAACAGCTCCTTGACGCCCGGAAGGTCCTTGGCACGACCGAAATATCTATCGTAAATGTGTATAAGTTCTTAAGCGACGAAATTCTGAGCGACTCGTACTTGTAACCCTTAGTCCCAGGCACTTCCTTTCCTTCATTATCGAGCATAGCAACATTACGTCGATAATTGGCGCCCCCAAGAGCAATGATTTGGTTTTCCCAGTGCCTCTTTTCGCGCATGAGTTTATTGATCTCGTCGTTTAAATCGCGAATCTCATAATCAGTCAGACCCACTACATAGACCACGCGGGCATTAGCATCCAACCCAACGGACACATGACGAACGAGCACAGTGGAGAACTGACTGTCTTGGATTTTAGAGACTTTACGACTGATCTCGCGGAGGATCTCCCCTCGCCATCTCTCACAATCGCGAAGGCTTTTACAAGCACTGGCCATTCGGGGTCGTTTATCACCCCTTCCTGCCACACCAAGTTCCGCAGCCTTAGCCTCACGGAACCGATACAGCATAGACCTTTCGACAAAAGACAAGAGTTTGGTGGAGTGTCTGTGGGCAAAAGGATCCCTGTACATACTGTGCTTTCTCTTCATTTCGAGCCTGTTAGATGGAAATTACATTGAGCACGGCGAATGCGCAATTCTGCAGAGTAGGTACTGACCATAGTGACGAACAAGTGTAACGGAAGTTGCCGGAACCGCTTCCTCCTACCGCGTCTCCTTGTGACTGCGAACTACCGCGATCTGAATTCGCCCTATCGCTCTGTTCCTCCGTATATTCGATCGTGTCGTTTGACGACGCGATATCTACATACTTCTGCCTCTTTAGCCTTGTTCCCGAGGCTTACTATCATTATGGGTTTCCTAGACGTCCTGTGCGTGGAGGGGTTGTATTCTCACAGGAAGAAACGATCTCTTATTTTCCTTTGGATACCAGACTTGGGCCTATGCTGTTTGCTTCTTTGCGCAATGTTTATCGCCCAAAAATATTAATGCGTTTCGTAGATTGGGGTTGACTCTGAATGCCGTTTTAATGGGAGCCTTAATCATTCAATATAGCACGTATTTCACTTCTAGTCACAAGAGGTAATCTATCTCTAGTGTGTTTATCCCAACACTCATGTCTATTGCATTCAGGGATCCTCTTTGGATCAAGATAGTGGTATCTACCCAGCTCATTCCAGCTCGAACCCTGTATAAATCAATCGCTAGGTCATTTTCTTGCTAGTTGCCGACACTGTCAACTTTGGGCTTGATCTCGCATTCGTCTGGATGTGAGTATTTGATGCTGTTTGCGATACCTCAGACTCATTAATTAATGCAGGTACACTGTGACTCATTTCGGTACGCGTCGTGTCTATGCTTTCAAAAGCGAACCTATGCTCATCCCCTTGGTGCAGGAGATTTCAACTTCATTAAAACTAGCAACTGGGTTTTCAACACTGGCAAGTTTCACAGAACTCGTTTGAATTCATCAATGCTCAGCGTATTGTGGCCTTTGGGCAGATCCCGTAATGACAGTGCGTATCTTTGTCCCTGGCTCTTTGATCCGTAAAATCAAAGTTTTTGTGCAGGTAATCATCTCCACGGCAGTTCAATCGTTTTTCGCCTGGCGTGTCAAAATTCTCACAGGTCACAAGTGGCTCTACATTGCCCTCAACATCTCTGCAGTGATTCAACTTTGTATGTCCATGGCGACTTTGTCTCAACTTAGATCCGATATATGACCATATTGTCATTTGTCCGTTTCAGTATGCGGTATGCCCCTCGATTATTCATTTTACCTTGCCCGCGATGTTTTCCCTCAGCCCTTAGGATTTGGTACGACAATCGGCTGCGCTATCGTCAAGGATTTCCTGAAATTTCAAGGTAACTCGCTCTATCCTTTCACCGTGCGGACGTCGTGACATGGGCATAGAGTTCAAAAGTGTCGTGATCGTGTGGCTGTCGCTATCAGCCCTTACGGATGTTATTATTGCTCTTACCATGGTCCAATACCTTCGTTCTCATCGAACTGGGTTCTCGTCTACCGAAGATATCCTTACGAAACTCGTCCGATGTCCGTATCTAAGGCGTAGCCATTCACATGTGTCAATGGTTTTTCTTAGCTCTTCTATGTAGTTACTATTCAGACCGGCGCTGTCACGTCACTCTGGGCTATTCTCGACCTAATAATTTATCTCAGCTTTGTGAGTCATCCGTTAGTCCCGTCAGTATTATATTGATCAAGGCCCATGGAATTGTACAGCCCAATAACCTGTAAGACACAGGTAATGAAGTTATTCATTGCTGACTACGCTTGACACGGACAGCCACCTCATATTCAATATGCCTCTCTCCAAGCTGTACTCCAATGCCTGTATTTCTTCATGTGTGTCTCACCTCTTTCATTCTCGGCGCCTCTCACGGATTAATGCATTGTAGTAAACGCTCGCAATGTCTGGTCGGGTGATCCTAAGAGTGTTGACAACTCGGTCCCCGTATGCATCCTTATTATCTTCTTAGTTGACTCAGATATTCAGCGACATACAGATGACCGGAGTCACCATCATAACCTCTTCAACCGTTCATCGCGATAGTCTAGAACTTCCTCGGACCTATTCTGGTCATCAGCTCCGCCTTGGTCTTGACTCTCACCGCCTCAGTCGCTCTCCTCCGGCCATCAGCACCGAGGGCGATGCATTCAATCCAGATCACCACAATGATTATAAGGAGGCTAAGTTCGTCAATATAGAACACCACGGACTCGAGAAAGGCTCGCCTGATGAAAAAGCCCCGTCCCCTACTTTGACCTACATGAGCTACGAAGGGGGCTTCCCGAAGAAAGCATGACACCGTGGCCCATCGTCAGAAGCTGTTTTCTCTCATATACCTTCTCTGATTGCTCTTCCCTCTGCATTTCCCTTCCTTGCCGCATGAACTCTCACTGATACTCCGTCCCTCGCGATCCGCCTCTTTCGCAACTTATATGGATCCTCCTATATTCCTATCTTCGACTACTAACGTTCTGATCAGCTAATCATTCCCTCATATCAATCAGAGTTCAATTATGTAATGGTGGCATTCATCCTTCAAAGCCTCATTTCTGTGGCTCTAGTTTTTTCTTACAATCGAAGCAGGCGATCCATTTGATGTGGCTCGCGCCGCCAGTAATATTGTCCCACTAAACTTCTTGTGTGTTACGAGACCAGCTGTGCTGTTGCCGTTATAAAGACCTCTCGAAGGCGATTTAAGTGGGGCTGTCAGAAACAATGATGTTCAATCATCCTGTTCTCACAAAATTGATGGTATCATTGCCCAAGAAATAAGTATGCCGGTCTCACAGAAAGCTTATCAATACAGGATCGATACAATTGCTGAGTCGTATGGAGGCAGTGCTATGAAAAATCATATACTCCGTTCAATCTCACCTAACAGCATCGTTGCATCCGTCGACCCCGTAAGAACTACACACGACACTGGTCAGAATACTAGATCCAGCGATGTGAGGGCATACGAAAGACGAACTAATGGGTTCTTTGGGATGAAAATCGACGGATGTGACTGTCCCTTTGTGTCCCGGAAGCTGCACCAAAGTTGTAAGTGAGAGTCATGGGAGAACGATCAAGGAGACAAACTTTATAGAGCACACGCGTGCTTTCGACATCCCATATAGTGACAGTGCGATCTGCACCTCCAACCGCCACTCGCTTCCCGCCATCTTCTTGGCTCCAGGCCGCACGACTGAGAGTATTTTCAAAACCCGCAGGGGCCCCTGAGAAGTATTGGACTTGAGAATTCCTTTGAGGGAAGGTAGATAAAACACCGACCTTGGAGCACCCTATGGATCCTCGACGGTGATGGAGAGAACGGTCGGATATCCCAGACAATGGTATTGGATGAGAAAGACGGTGAAAGGAGATAGTTCCCTGAAGGAGACACTGATAATGAGGACGGAATGTCGGTATGGCCACGTAGTGCCATCACCACTTCTTGCTTTCGGAGATCATACACCTCGGGAACCCAAGAGCTAAGTCTTTCAATGTCGACAGTGTTTGCATTAGACTCACATGTATAACGTTATCTAGAGCACCAGCATATATTTGCGCCCCGTCTGGAGACCAGCATACCGACGTCACAGGACAACCGA